CTCTCTCATCTTTTTAAGTGGGAGAACTTGCACAATTGGTGACTGACTAAATACTTATTTTCCCCACTGTACATATGAGCAGGATAAACCAGGGATAGTGAGGACAACAATAAAGAAGTTAAATCAAGAATATATTTGCATTCATTGCATGCTGATTAAAAAAATACACCTGGCTTTTATTTTTGGAGTATTGCATTTTCCAGTTAACCTTCGTGCTACTTGGGATAGATAGGTTAGATATGAGCAGGAGGTTTTGTTTAACACACATGGGGGGAAAAGTTCACCTTGTAAATAGATTTTTTTATTGACTCTTAAATGCACGTCACATTTATGATTTTTTTATGCTTGAGGTGTTTAGTACATCTTTCTAATCAATTTGCTATCAGTAATGTGATTAAGTTGTTGTGGGAACAACTAATCTAATTAGCGATGCACAATATATCGCCATTAATATCGGTATCGGCCGATATTGGTCATTTTTTAGAATATCTGTATCGGTCCAATATGTAAAACTGGGCCGATATTAATGTCCGATATTGATTTTCCAATTTTTAGCTTTGTGTTTCTGTTTTGGGAGGGGTGATYGTTGGTTGAGTGGCGTTTGTTTGATCATGATATTGATATTTACGCTGCACAGCCATGAATAACTGAAGTAGAGCCATGTCAGAGGTCTGGTCATTTATTAAYGGTATCAAAAATGGATGTAATAAGTATTATGAAGTATATAAACCATACTGAGATGATAGTTCATAATGCATTGTGCCACGGTTGGTGAAAACCAAGCACAGCATTTTGGCAGCAACGCCTCAACAGCTGTCACACACTGTGGTGGAGGGGATGACGATTTCAGCTTGTTTTGCAGCCACAGAAACTGTTTTTCTTGCAGTCATTGAATAGATCATGAGCTCTCTGTGTTTACTGAAGTATTTTATAGTCAAATATGAGGCCATCTGTCTGACAGCTAAAATGGAAAATGGAAAAAAAGAACTCAGCTTAACAGAAATGCTGTAGTGATGACATCTTAAGAGAGCTGCACGGAAACAAATGTATGAAAAATCACAAGGAATTGAAGCAGCTTAGTAAAGAGGGGTGGGGTAAAATTCTTCCGTACGCACATGGAAAACTGATAAAGCCGTGTATTTTTCTGGCTGTGGACGTGGTCAAGACTTGGTTRCATATGCACGTCAAGGTTTTTCTGTATTTCTTTATTTTTTCTCTCAGGTGTTCAATAAGAGGACTTTCACCAAAAACTACCTGGTGCAGAATCTGGTGGACAAATTGGATGATCTGGAGTGTCTGGCGCCGTGTCCTCCACCTTCTAAGCCCTCGAAAATGGATGGAAAGTGTGAGCACCACAGCGAGGAGCTGAAACTCTACTGCCAAACGGACAAGAGGCTCATCTGTGTCGTCTGCAGGGAGTCCAGAGCTCACAGGTTGGTTAATTCAGTCAAAGGAGTTTAATTAATGGTATGCCCTGAAAAGAGGGGTAAATGGCAAGATTGGTATTGTCTCTTTAATTATTTGTCACAGAAATTAGTAAGAAAAATAAAAAACAAAGATTTGAGTTGTTTTTATTATGTTGTGCTTGTGGAACTAAACTCTGTTTTTTTCTGTTTATTTAAAGTTAAATGATAAAGCAGAACGAAGTTTGATAATTCTGATCAACAAGCAGAGTTGTAAAGTAACTAAGTACAAATACTTTGTTACTGTACGTAATCAGAATTTTTGGGTAGCTGTATTTTACTTGAGTAATTATTTTTCAGCCTACTTTTTACAAGTAGAAAGTCGTTACTTTTATTTCATTTTTGCTTGTTTTCATTCCAGCTTGTTATTATAAAAATAAATACTATCCATATAAACTATGCCCTTTAAAGTGAATTTAATTGTGGTTGAATGAGAAGTATAAATATTTAAAACGCTGATAGCGTATTAGTTTGTACACAAACAAATCATGTCACACTCCAGCAGGACATAATCATTAAAATAAAAGGACTGTACTTAAAAAGTATTTCTATTTCATGAATTATATTATTACATTTGGCCGCAGCCCTCAGATAGATTTTCGTTTTGGAGAAAAGGTTTGGGCAGCTTTGATATATGTACAGTGCATCCTAAATTTAACATGAACTAAGCATTGTAATGCGATGTAGTCATTTCAGCATTTTTTGGGGAGATCACCTCCTAATAAATGTCCTGACAGAAAATCTAACTGCTCATTTTAAATCGATACATTTAATACTTAAGTACAAAAAATATCAGATACTTTAAGACTTACTCAAATAATATTCCTAAAGGAGACTTTAACTTTTACCAAAGTAATTTTTTGGTAAGATACTTGTACTTTTACTCGAGTATCACTTTATGGTACTTTATACAACACTGCCAACAAGCAATTTCTTACATCGTCTAGGTCAGTGGTTCCCAAACCTGGTCCTCAAGTACCCCTATCCAGCATGTTTTACTTGTTTTCCTGCTCTTCAGCAGGTCTTCAGGTGATTGTTAATCCCTCATTCATTCAAACCAGGTGTGTCAAAGCAGGGAAACATCTAAAAATCACTGCTTTAAATGTTGATGAACACCTCCAGAGCTTCTCTGAGCTTGATGAGACATTTTCAAAATATAATATTGCCTCAGTTTTATTTTTTTAGTGTTACCTTTGGAAGCCATGGATTCTTTGTTATTTATTTGTAAATAATAAATCAGATAACATGTATTAAAGCTGTGATTCTCAACCCTGGTCCACAAGGACTCCTTTCCTGCATGTTTAGAAGTTTCCTTGCTTTGACACACCTGGTTTGAATGAATGAGGGACTAACAATCTTCTGAAGACCTGCTGAATAGCAGGGAAACAAGTAAAACATGCTGGATAGGGGTACTTGAGGACCAGGGTTGGGAACCACTGGTCTAGTCAGTTTCAAAACCCATTCTAAAAAAAGGAATGCTGGTGGGAGGRCACGCTGGGACGTGATGACTTGGTTAGACAAAGTTGAGTCTGCGAGCTTGGAATGCAAAGCAACTCAGCTGATAAAGCCAGACTTTGTGTCGTCTTCAAGGCTGACGTCCAGATAGCTAAATGTTACATTTGCCACTTGATTAAACCTCAAGGACATTTCAGTTCAGTGAGTTTGGAGGACATGTTGAAGCTGCAGAGTGTGTTTTAACAAATGTGGATTTAATAAAGCTCTACAAGACACTAAGGGTATTTTTGAGTTACGTGCATGGGAAATGGCTGTGTAACTGCGTGGCGTTTTGTTTCACGGTGATTTCAGACACCATGATGTGACACCGGTGCAAGAGGTCATGAATGACATGAAGGTAAGATTTGAGTTTTTAACAATGGAAATGTGGTATTTGTGTTGCAGAATTTGCAGCAGCTCAAAAACAGAGCATGTTTCTGTTTTCATGCAGTGTTTCATGTAATCTGATGTGTATTTGTTACAGAGGGAGTTGAGGCTGAGGCTGGGGGAGATCAACTGGCATAAGTCGCAGTGTATCAAAATCAGAGCCACAGATCAGCGGACTAAAAGTGAAGTGCGGGTACGATACCTGAAGCTGTGTTTGAAAAATCTAAACATGTTTGAGGAAATGTCTCCATACCCACTTGAATTAGTTCTTTATTCTGATCACATTGTTTTCAAAGTTTTTAAATGATTGGTTCATGTTGTCCTTTACAGTAAATGTGAGTTTTGACTTTGGATATGTTGCACAAGGCAAATCTGGCTGACAGTTGTGATTATGCAAATAAGTTTGGCATTTGAAAATTCAGATTATTATTACTTTTTTATGTCTGTAATTAGAACATTAGCACACACACTAATACAAATCTGTGACACCTCCCACACGCTGTAATTATGTTGCTCTGATCAAGTTGCAAACTTAACGTCCAAACGTCTCTTGTTTTCTAGTTGAAGAATCAAAGACTGAAGGAGAAGATCGAAGCAGACGTTGGCGCTTTGGTCCAGTTCTTGCTAGATGAGAGAGATTCCCTGCTGGAGAGCTTGGACAGGGAGGAAGTGGCTACCATGGTCGCCATAGATGACAACCTGAAAGCCGTCGAGACAGAAGTGGCAGATGCGGACAAAGCTATTTCAGATATTCACAGTTGTCTTAATGGAAAAACTAGTTTTGAGGTCAGTTTAAAGTGACTGATCTTTGAAATCACAATTTCACAATATATGTGTTGACATAAAAACAATCACATCCAACACATCTGTTTTATGAGTGAAGCTCCTGGGATTCCGAATAGCCTTAATTAACTTAAACAGATGAGATTAACTTGCAACGACGGTAAAGTTTTTGTTTTCACACAAAACAACTAAACAACCACCGCAGCAAGCAACAACAAGCTAGCTTAGCTTTCAGTCCTCTGTCGTCCTCCCCTCGAGCCCTTTGTGTCATACTGCTGGATCATCCAGTATAGTCTTTGGTACTTCAAGTTTAATGTTGTCCATTATTGTTGTTGCAAATAAAATGACAATGCATTCTAACAAAAAACTTAACCGTAATTTCACAAATGCCGTGATTACCGTTTTTTTTTTTTTCTTCAATGCAGCAAGAGTAACCTCTGCTTTTCAAGTCCCTCACAAGTTTCTCATTCACTCCAAACTTTCTTTCTGCTGCTCATTTTTTATAACCAGTAGGCTACAGGAACAACATATACCACAGTTGTCACAAGCCTAAAGCTCCCTCTCATGGCTGCTGACGGTAATGTTTCCTCTCTGGTTCATGTCAGTATGAACTATAAAAGTTTGTCACATCAGTCAAAAAATGCATCATGAACAGGAAAAAATATAGTCGCGCCTCACTATAACCAGGACCAACCAAACTATGAAAAAAAGTGACTTATAGTCCAGAGGATATGATAATTGCATTTGTTTCACACTTGTTCAGAGCATTCACATCTTTTCTCTTTTCTTTTCTTTTTCTTTTTTTTTTTACCGACAGAGCCTTGCTGAAACATACGAAGAGTAAGTAGTCTAAAAGTGTCCGACTTAAARCAAATCTGCCTTTGTCTTGTCTTTTTTTACAATTGCATTTTTCTGTATTTCTTTTCAGAGCAATTCACTGCAAGATTTTCASCAGCTTCGACCCTGTTAGTTGTCCGACTGAATTTACAGACTTCTCAGGGCCTTTCCAGCTCATCATGTGGAAGAAAATGATGCATGTGCTGCACACCAGTGAGTTTACGCAGTAAAAATTGACAGCTTTTAGGCTTTAAATGAGGCAAACAGACAAAAAATAAAGTGTTATTTTTTAAGTCGTGATCAACTAAATAGGTAGGATTGTGTCGGCYCAGAAGTTAACTTATGAACTAAACTCTTATTGTCTGTTTCTGTGCAGTGCCTCAGAACCTCACCTTGGACCCAGACACCGCTCACTTAAACCTGTTTATCTCAGACTTCGATACCAAAGTGGAGGAGGGCCACATTCGCAACCAGGAGCCGGATCTGCCGGGTCGCTTCAATCGCTTCTGCGGCGTCCTTGCCACAGCCCAGTACGCCAGCGGTCAGCACTACTGGGAGGTGGACGTGAGGGACAAAGGTGTGTGGTACCTGGGGGTGACCACTGAATGCAGCAACAGGAAGGGCTTTGTCAGCCTCACTCCCTCCTCAGGATACTGGAGCCTGTGCCTGCAGGACCGGCTGTACGCCAACGTGGAAGACGGCCGCGTTCCCGTCGCCGACTACTGGAACTCCCCGCGTGTAGGTGTGTATTTGGACTACGACAACGGGCGTCTTAGTTTCTACGATGCGGTAACCATGCGGAGACTGTTCATGTTTAACACCTGCTTTGATGAGCCGGTCTACCCTTTTTTCAGCCCAGGGAAGAATGATCCAGGCAGCAGGATGCAAATATGCCACTATTATTAACTGAGATTTACAGAGTGGTTGCACCGATTGTTGAAGAGTCGACTCGTTTTTTTTCTTTCAGGTTTGACTCCTGAAATGGCAATTTCTCATAGGCTAGGCTAGAGTAATGGGGTCATGTTGAGTCTTCACAGTCCTGTATTGTGTGCTTTTCAGCTGTTACTCATTGATTTTATGTCTAAATATATATTAGGTCATATAAAATGAATATAATCTGGTGTGTTGTCATCTTGGAGTGATTTTTCTATTTTATTTCCAATTTAGACACCTACTGTAGGCTCATACCCCTGATTTACTGTAACGGGGGCTTTGGAGAGGTGCTTTGCGGGCTATATCACTGTGTCTGCGGGGTGGCAGATGCCTCAGATGCTCTCATTGATTGGAGCATATGTAATTCATATCCCATAGGCAACCATTTTGCCAAACTACTGTGTAAGTTTTTTGCCAGGCAAAGGAGCAGTTGGTAGAAGAACCCTTAACATATCACATTGATAGATGTTGGTCAGTTTGACCTTCTCAGCCAGCCAGGGATTTCAGCAGCAGTTCAGACTTCCACATGTAACGACATGGTTGTTTGCGGACCCAAATATTTTTAGTACAATGGCTTTTTTTTAATGTCCTTTTTATTTTAATTATTTACACAGTTTTTAGCCATTGACAGTTTTTATATAGTTTCCTAAAAGAGTTTGCAGCCCTTTTGTCTCACGCTGAAAGCATGAAGCCATATTGTTTTGAAGGTTGTTTAAAGAAAGGTGGAGCTYTTTATCTCTGCAGGGATGAAACGGTAAATGACGAAACATCCAGTTAAAAAAAAAAAAACGCTGGAACTTCTGACACTTTCTCCAACAATTGCTCATTTAGCTTGTACATGTCGATMTGTCAAAGCAGAGTAATTGGTGTTTGTGTCAACACAATTGTTTCAATCTGTTAAGAATTTTATTTTAGTTTTTCTGCATACATGCTTTGTTCTTGTTTTCTTTGAGGGTTAATTATTAGGGAAATAGTTTGGCTACACTGTTCAGTAATTTACWAAATAGTAATAAACAAATCAGTTATTTAAAGTCATTATATTCGATTGTGTTTTTATAGTTAAAATGTTATATAATTTGTCAAACTTTTTATCAACATTTGTATTTGTTAAAATCTTAAAGCCTGTTTTTCATCTTTCAGCTTTTTTTTATTCTAAATTGGTAAATTGTTCTGTTTTTTTCATTCACTTATTAGTATTCTAAATTTAGCGCAATGATTTTTGTGTTGCATGATATGATGCGCTTTATACATTTTTTTGATTATTTACAAGCTTTTATTTTGCAATCTGTAGCTTGTTTTGGATCTGAAAGTGTGTCTGCAATCACACTAAGTTGTAATTTATTATTTTTTGTTATTTTTAATTTTATTTTATGTTTAGAGAATGGCAACTTGTATGCTTACTTTCATTTTAATTTTCAGACATCAAAGGTTGTTAAAAGTTGGGCCAAAAGAAGAAGCTTTTTGAGGATAACCTGATAGTTTTAAGATAATAATTTAGAAAGCTCTGCTTTAGCTTTCCATTATTTTCCAATATGTCCTTACARTGTGATGATTTTTTTAAGCTCGTTTTGGTCCTTTTAACTGTATATAAATGATTTTCAGATTTTTCATTAAGAATAAAGAAGAAAAAAAAGATGTTTCAGCTTCTCTTTGTGGAAATACTGTGATGTTTTAATTGTTTGTAGCTTTACACATTTAGATAAATACTTTTTAAACATTTCAGTAATAATTCATGGTCAACAATAAATTGTTTTTGTGAAGCATAAAAAGGTTTTTATTCAAGAATTTTCCTCTCAAACCTCAACTGWAATGTCAAATAGTTGAGTATTTTCACAATCATTCATTGTTCATCACTACTAACCTAGTTTTATTTGCTATTCTGATTAATCGTCCATCCCCCCAACATCAGCTGCTGATTCAGTTTTCTTATCCAGAACATTAAGGAGGAGGTGAGAAAATGGTATTTTATTTTGCCATCGCTGCCTCCAGCTTTGATTATGACTCAGAAATGACTTCTCTGCCTTTTTATTAAGATGAGAACATAAAAGGCAATATAAAAAGCAAYAGCATACCTACGGACCAGGTTGTCCTTAATTTTGGACTGTATTAAAATTAACCTGAATACAGATAAAATGGTCAAACACGTTTGAAAAGTAATTTCAATGATGCTTGTCCTCATGATGCTCATAAACACCTGGGATTGTCATCAAAGGAAGCTGAAAAATTATGGTTTGTGCTGTGGTCTAATCCAAGAATTGACAAAAGTCACATGAATCTTATGAAAAACAAAAATGACAGATTGTTTCTAAATATATTATTTAATTTAGATATTTGTCAGCGATGCTCATGTTGATAAAAGAACTTAGATGTAGCATTTTAATCAAATGTGCTTATTTTATTTCACACAGACATGTTAGACACATTAAAAGCCTTAGACAAAATAATAAAACTATAACAAACAGGTTTAATTCATAAAGAGGGTTTCTCTCAGTACAGGTAAACAAACAAATTAAAGACGGGGGGGGGGGGGGTGTGTTCTTACTAAACAGGCAAAAAATGAGTTGTGTGTTAGCTGGTGTTGCATTTCTAGGGGTCCACACTAAAAAATACACACAAAAATACAGGACAAATGAATACAAGTACTGTAAAAATACATGATAAAGGTGCTTGTCAGCTACGATAGAAGTCTGATTGTAATGTACAATATATTTATTGATTATGTCAACTTATGAGCTATACATAGACATATATTACTCTTGCAAATGATATATAATCTTATTATATTCATGTTATGTGCAATGTTAACTTACAACAATACATTTTGGCAAAAGGAAAAGTCACTGCATAACAGAACTTAAAATCTGTGGGAAAAAATGTGGTGAGAAACAGATTTCAATGCTAAGATTTACAACATTTGGCAAAAAAAAATGAAGACAATGTTTGAATTCAGCAATTACAAAAATAATTTGTAGAACAAATGATATTACAAAAATCAAATATAAATTAAATCTTCTGAAAAACATTTAACAAATGCCAAAAAAAATACAACTTTGTTCAGCTTTTGTTTCAGTCGTGCTGGCTACTACTTGGCATGATCTTAATTTGGATTAAATGCTGAAATAAGTAGGTTAAACAGTGATATAACATGGATGCTGAAATCCATATGTACACCTAAATATGCATATGTACAATAGACATGGTATGAATAGACAAAAGTGCAAAAAGTCGGGTTCGATTTTAAAATCAGATTTTTTGTTTTTATAGAGCTGGTTAAGATGTTGTGCTTCTTTTAAACAGAACTATTTGCATAAAAATATGGTTAAAACTAAATTAAAGTGACATGATGCAGAAAAGGAAAAACAAATCTCTAATTATATTTTCCTGCCTCCCATAAGGGTAGTGCAACTTAAAGGAACAGTTCAAAACATTTTTTTGAAGTTGGTATGGTGGAAATGTGAGATATGGATTGCTTATGTCGTAAACCAACTACATTCTTAAAATTTCAGTTTATGCAAACACTATTTTATCAGCTAATACATAACTGTGTTCATTTTTGCTTTTTTGTGTCAAATATATTCCTGTTTGAAGTGCCTCAAAGTGAACACAAAGTGCTACAGCCAAATGCTGCTGCTGTCTGTGCTTGTATGTAAATAACTGCGTACAACAAAGCTAAAACTAACCATTAGCGCTACAGTCTCAACGAGTCTCTTTTTTTTCCCCAAACTGAGGTTGTTCTAAGAGCCATCTGCAGCAGGTAAGATATTACCTGTTCCTTTCATTTCTACATAACACCAAAACAAATCTGAACTTTTGCTTTAAGACCAGCAAACTATTGGTTGGCATTTAGGAAAATAAAAATGTAAGCTTCAATCATTTATTTTAAATCAATTAGTCGAATATAAAGATAGATAAAAGGTACACAAACCAAGAGATATGATAAAATATCAAATAACAGAACAATTTATTCCTGCGAAATAAATTGCATTCTATTTATATGTTTATTTTTTTAACCAATAATTTTGTTGAGTTTGTGTTCGGTGCAAAATATCTCTGATTTTGAACATTGCTCGCTCAATATGTTTATCGTTTATCTTCTGATATTACAACCACTAAAGAATGTAGACTCTGAACAAAGAATATGAGTTTGTGAGAATGGAGTCTCTTTAAAGTGTGCAGGCACGGTGCAGTTCTTAGTTTACATTAATTTACTCAAGCAGCGGCGTCTTCCCTCCGTCTACTGCAAATATCTGTAAACTTTGAAGCAGTGATTTCCGGAGTCTGCAACAGCCACGTGACCGTCTGAGGTGAGAGCGAGACCCTGAGGGCCGTACAGAGGGTCTGCGGAGGTGTTGATGTAGGAAAGGAAGGACCCTGTGCTGTCAAACACCTGATGCAAGAACAAAATGCCTCTTAGTTTACAGCAGAGCTGTCAATCAACTAAGTAAAAGTAAAAACACTTTAACAGAAAAGGACATTGGTAGGAATTAATTTCACAGATAATCAAAGTAGGCTACTTAAGCAAAAGTCATAAAACTCTATACAATAATCGAGAAAGTATAAGTACTTTTATACACAATCTAAGAAATTAAATGTTAAACTTACCAAGTTATGACAACTGGTTCCACTAAAACGAGTTGGATAAACTCAACTCAGTTTAGTGCAACCAGATGAACCCCTTTACTATAACACTTTACACCTCTGGTTTATAGTGTTTGCAGAAATACATTTGAAACGTATGGGATAAATCTTGTGCCAGCAGGAACTGATTTTAAATTTCTCAGATTGAATCTGAATGTGCATAATTTGAAATTGAATGTGTTGGTTTGAAAATGAATTTTACTAAATTGAAACAGAATTTAATGGTTTGAAACTGAATTTAAAGTTTTGTATCTGAATTAATTTGCTTTGAAACTGTATTTTGATTTATTAAAATTTCAGTTTGACCACTTTCACTTCCAGTTCCATAATTCAGATTTTTGTATCACACATCCTTGTCCTGGAGAAAGCCAGCCAGAGTAATCAAACACAGATCCACAGATTTATGTTTCACTTCGGTGAAGTTTCTCTTCTGTAATGTAACAGAGTTGATAAAATTCAATGTAAAAGTGACAAAAACAAAGTTATTTTTTGCAGTGAGTAAAAAATGTAGAAAATGTTACATTTATATCACATCATGGATCACATATTGATCAAATGCTACTACTGACTGATCCATGACAGGATGTGAATGCAACATTTTCTATAGGTAAAATTAATTTACCTATAGTTGAAGGTAAAATTAATCACTGCAATAAAATAGCTGTCTATTTTTGTCACTTTTATGGTGTATTGCATCAACTCTGTTACATTACAGAAGGGAAACTTCACCGAAGTTAATGAATCTGTGGGTCTGTGTTTGATTACTCTGGCTGGCTCTCTCAAGGACCTGGATATGTGACACAAAAAATTGAATTTTGCAGCTGAAATTGAAAGTAGTTAAACTGAATTTTTAATAAACCAAAATACAGTTTCAAAGCAAATTAATTCAAATTCAAAACTTTAAATTCAGTTTCAAATCATTAAATTCAGTTTCAATTTAGTGAAATTTATTTTAAAACCAATGCATTCAATTTCAAATTATGCACATTCAGATTCAATCTGAGCTATTCAAATTCAATTCCTTCTGGCACAAGATTTATCCCATAGAAATGGTCAAAGTTTATATTCTAAAAGCACCCTGAAGGTACCTGAATTCTGCTGTTACCCCAGTCAGCTACGATGATGTTTCCGTTGGCGTCCGCAGCCACCCCGGTGGGAGCGTTGAACTGGCCGTTGCCTTCGCCGTGAGAGCCAAACTTGAACAGGAACTCCCCGTCTGCACTGTACACCTTTTGGAGACAGTCGGCAGGTTATGTCTCCACTAATCACCCTTTTTCTAAGATTTACAGCAGACTTTTCTCTTTGTACCTTCACAGAGTGATTGTGAAAATCCGTCACTATTATTTCATTCTTGTTGTTCACGGCAACAAAGTGCGGACCTGTGGGAGGAGAAGCGGGTTATTGTAGGGAAATTACAGTTGCCCCAGATCATGTCACAGTGAGTACCGGTAGGCTGTTAAAATGCTTGATCAGGTTGTTGGTTTTATATGAGTGAAGTGGGTTCTTAAATGTTTTATGTATTTTCAGAATTTTAAACTTTATTTAATAAAAAAATTAATAGAGAAGCTTCCTGTTTTTACACTGTTAATGCATGCTTTGTCTAATCACACAAAACTCAGTCAAAAATAGCTTTACTGATTGTATATTTGGAAAGTTTATTGGCTTAAGTTACCCATCATTAAACGCAACACCTCTTAACACTCATTTTAAGKCAAGAACAGAAGAAAACACTTATTCTTTTATAGCTATTCTACACAAAAACCACAAAACACAAGACAAAATGTTCCTTATTTCATCTGTTTTCATTATTTTGGAAGTTTTAATCACCATGGTACGAGCACAGCTCGATCCATTCATTTGTCTACAGTCGACTTCCTCAGAAGTCAGACATGTGATCGGGGATTTGGGTTAGACAGAGGGCACTGTGGGATTAAGGTTGCAGCAAGGCCACACTTAGTACTTACTGAAAACTGAGCCAGATTTATTAAAGTTTGGGCCAAGTTTTTCTGAATCAGAAAACAGAAGGAAGAACAGAATGAAACAACATCATTGCAGATAAAGATAAAAAAAAGTGAAGGGGAAAACGCTCAAGGATGGTCAGGATGGGTGCATGGCAGGGGACAAGCCATTAATTAGTGTTCTACATAATAAATACAGGGTTTGGATTCTTCAGCATAAAGTGATATGGGACATAATCCGCTAATCAATAATCATTTTATATTTTAATATCAGGACATAAAGTTGCTCTGGGTCCTTCCTGGGGCTTAAAATGTTGAAGCTTAGCAAAAAGAAAAATGCTATACCTAAAAGATGTGGTAGTAGCTGAAACTCATCCCTGGCGTATTTAAAGGGGCAATATTATGTGTTTCTCAGGCATTTATTTAAAAACTATACCATAATAAAGTATCTATGTCGCCTTTGGCTGTTATTAAAATGCTGTTTTTTATGTTTAAATAGAAAATAAACTCATCTTCTCATCACTTCCTCTTCTAAAAGCCTTGAAATTGGCCTCTGTCTCTTTAAGAACCACCTTCCGCTTCTGTCCCGTCAATTTCAGTCGGGGTGGGGGGTTGCGCGCGCACAGGGGTGGGGTTGTTTCGCGCGCGCACAATGATGCAGTTTACTTGGCATCTGAAAACACATTTCCTCAAAGGTATTTTGAATCTGAAAAGAGCGTCTCTGAGTGAGAAGTAGTAGATCTCAGCAGACAGTTTAAGTTTCACTTTCACTTTGCTCTGTTACTGCCGAGAGCCTGCAGGAGTCATGGGTGGGGTGTGTGGGGTGGGGAGGTGTGGTCTGTGATGAAGTTCGGCTTAAAGACACGTCCCAGGGGCATTCCTAGTACCATAAAGGCGTTTCTGGTCCCCACCTGTCGTTTTGCTCCTCAGCATGACTTCCTAAAAACACTGCAGGATTTCTCAAACATGCGTGAATGAGTCGAAGCAAGGCTTTGGGCATGTTTTTATGATATAAAACTCAAAAAAGTTGATTTTACATGATATTGCCCCTTTAAGTACTAAAATTGTGTAAGATTTTTTWAAACTTTTTTAGTACCAACCAATGTCTTTGTGTTAGCAAAATATGAACCACTGATTTAATGAAACTTGCAGAAAGTAAAACCTACTTTTTTGTTTAAAACCTTGACATGCAAGGCAGCCAAATTTGGATGTATGGATGGACGAATAAAATAGAAAAGCATCAAAGTAGGGTTCTAACTTTGAAGCACTGGATGAATGAGAGTCGATAATATGAGATTAAAATTAAATTGACTGACTTTATATTCTGCCTCAATAGATTATCTTTATGTTTCCTGTTGGTAAATGTTCAGACCTCCTCCTCACCTGCAAACTGTCTGTCAGACGTCCCTCTGCCTCCAAATTTTGTCACAAGCTTTCCGTTGGACTGAAAGATGAAGACGCAGCAGGCTTTGTTATCAACTGTAATGATGTGGCCGTTTTTATCCACAGCCACACCCTTGGGTCCCATGAGGCGGCCTGCTCCAATCTTATTCTGAGACAGAGGAAGACAAAAACACGTTCGAGACACCGATAACTTCAACTGTATTTATGTGTTTTATATACAGCATTAAAATTAAACATGTGGGATTTTACCTTAAACTTGCCATCGGGGGAGAAGATGCTGACCCATCTGTTGTCATAATCAGCCACCACAATGTCGCCGTTCATGTCCACAGTGACGCCCGTCGGTCTCTGTAGCTGACCCGGAGAGCGACCTCTGACCCCAAAGCGCATTTTAAATTGGCCGTCGTTGGAGAATACCTGCAATCAGTTCCACCGTGGGGGGCCTGGTTTGAGTGGCTGACAGGAATCTGCATGACAGATGTGTGCAGAGGCAAACCCGGCTGCAGTGGTGTGTGTTTCCCACTGTGGGGCAGTCTCACCTGAATGCACTGGTTGTTGCTGTCGGCCACCACCACCCTGCCGTTGCTGGAGGCTGAGATCCCTTGCAGGTTGGTGAACTCCCCTTTTTCTCTGCCCCGGGAACCTGACAGAAAACAATTAGGCGCTCGTTCAATGTGGCAATTAATAGTTTGGTTGAGCATAATTTATCAGGTCTGACAAGAGTTTTGGGGCTAATTCTCTGCTCTGGTAATTTTAGATGACATAAAATCAGTTCCTCAAAATCTTTTCTTTAACTTTTCGGCAAATGAGGGATTTGATTTATTTCTCTACAGGTATAACTCAAAACTTGCTTGAAGCAGGTAATGCATTAAATGGTATAGCCTCTTAGACTGCATTGTGCTTTAGCCATTTTTCATGCCAATGAACAGTTCTAATGTAAATGTGGACATTTGTTTTTGGGTTGGATCTTTTGACAGAACAGTGTACATTATAAATGGTGTGTTTATTTCTGAATTTCTACTCATCAATCACTTCTTGGCAAGTTAACTTTCACTTTTGTGCTCTCCTAGCATGAACTAAAATCTTGGGGTTAAGTGTGCCACTTTAAAACCTTGTTTTATAGTCTGTGGTAATGTAGTGTAAATCTCAAGTAGGTGTCTCTGCAGCACAGAGGAGGAGTTTCTTGGTTTGTGTGGGTGGAGTTTGTCCTAATTGATTTGTTTTGAGCTGAAATTTGTATTGGTGTAGCCATGAATGATTGCAAGTACCCATTTAAGCTAACCAAAGCTAATTTTACAGATTCAACTTTTTTTTTTTACATTTTAGCCATACACAGCTGAAAATGTACAGTATATAAAAGTAAAAGAGAATAATCTTTGATAAGGTCTGATTGCAAATAAAAGATCCAAGATGGCCACTAAAGCTAATTGCAACTATTTTTTAGAAACTTTGAGCTGAAATTAGGTAAAGTGGTAGCTAATAGCAAACTCCACGACATGCTGAAATCTCAACTGTAAGCTAAGGGCTAATGCTAATTTGAGAAAGACAGATATTTCAGCCAATTTTAGAGACTAAGCTAAATCCTGGTATATAGTCATCAATAATCTTCAAGAAAACCTGAATGCAAATACAAATTTCAAGATGGCCACCACAGCTAATTTCATTAACTATATTTCCAATTTACTGCCACATGTGACCCCCACCCCACTTGTCAATCATTTGGGGGTGGCACCTGGGGTCAGGGATGGCATTTACCACCCTTATTGCTCTGCCCTAGGTTCTAACTACATGTTCCTCTGTCATACCAACTCTGTAGATGAGCTCATCCTCAATGGGGTTCTCCTTCTTCTTGGTGGTGCTGTACATGCTGGAGGGCCGTCGCACCGCTTTCTGGCGAATGTGGCCCCCCGTCCCACTGGGGGACTTGACCCTCCGTTTCACATCATCTGGCGATTGTGGCACATCAGACGGCTTGACCGCTCGCAGGCGGAACGGGCTGCCTCGAATCGGCTGTCCGTAGAGCAACAGGCTGAATGAGTACTCCCCCTCAGAGCGTAGCGTGTAGCCCACCTCGTACGTCCCGTTCTTGTTGTCTATTATTTCTGCCTCTGCAGTCCGGCTGCCATCGACAGACAAAATCTCTGCTTTTAAAACTGCATTTCCCGTCCGTACCAGCTCTCCATCCTGCAACAATCAGTGCGACAGAACTGCGACTGGTTTGCATGAACAAGAATTCAATGGAGGAKTTTATCAAACCTTAGTGCGCAACTTAGAAATCATACTTTGTCTTTTGTTGTCACAGTGATGGTGTGGTGYTGCCCAGTGGCTGCGTGTCGCAGGCCCTCTCCTGTTGCCACAGAGGTGTGTGCCACAGCGGATGTGGTGAGGAGGACACCCAGGTTCTGGATGGAGCGCCGCAGACCTTCAGTCTCCACCTGGAGCAGACAGGCACAAGTTTACCTTATTGTTGGAGCAGTGGCGGAGCCAGACATTTTTCTCAGGGGTGGCCAGACAGGGACCACTACTCACATGGGGGGGCCAAGAAAACTACGTACATTTTTACCTGAAAGTTTCTGCAGATCTTTGTTTTGGTCATTTCCTCATGTCGTTATACAGACAGTGATTATAAATATGGGTGTCAGAACCATTTTAAAAGTGTGTGGATACATTGTCGGGGGGTCTGGGGGTCCCCCCTCCCCCCAAGAAAATTTTGAATGAAATAGATGCCCTTTCCAGCATTCTGGTGTATTTTACCAGGTTGTTTAACAAACTTTTACCTACATAAATAAACACTTGATTTAATAATTATTTCAGAGACAGATTATTCATTAAACTAGTTTCATCATGCTATTTTTAAACACACCGCTATGTCTGAGATAAAGTTAATGTGTCAGAATTTATCATATCTAATGACTTTGGGGGTGCTTTTTACATTTGTATTGTTTATTGATTTATTTTTCATTTTAATACATGTCGTTGTGCCAAATAATGATGACCTTCAACTGCATGTTTATAGCCAATAAAAATAACTTTACCCAATGAACAGGTGCATTAATAACCACCAACAGTGAATTTAAAGGGGCATTTCACTTTTTCTTTAGCAATAGGTCTACTCCTAACCAAAAGGGACAGAGCATCATGCAGGCTTCATAACATAAAATGAAACTGTGATATAGTGACAAATAAATAAATAAATAAATAAATAAATAAATAAATAAACATTTGTCACCATAAGTCAGATTACATAGGCATATGTTATGTACACAAAGAAAACAATCGAATTTGGTGATGTTTCAAACTGTTAAACACTGCCACCAACTGTTCAGGAGGATTATTACACCCCTAAAGGTTGTTTCACTGTGTAAGGGGTGTTTACAACAGGGTGGCCAATGGGGTGGCCAAAGATTTGTCTGTGGTGGCCATGGCCACCCCTGGCCACCCCTTGGCTCCGCCACTGTGTTGGTCGCAATGGTTTTATTTGCAGATGCCGACCCGATCTGAAAGGTAGTGATATGGTCATGTGACATTTTGCTATTTGTACAAAAACATGGACAAAACTGCTCTGCATGTAACCTGCTTTCAACGATGAGAATGGAGAAATATTAGTTATTTCACTGGTTTTAATACCTGGCAATCCAGGTGAGCGTTCTGATGTGGTTTTTCTGGGAAGTCATGTCTGGCCAGAGCGGTTACTCGCTCACTCATCTGCTTCTGAACAAGGAGCACCTACACTTGCAATATACACATAATCACATTTAGATTTATGTTAACTTTCAGTGGATTCATACATTTGGTCACCGATTGTTATAAAGTCTGAGCGTGGTTTATAACTCTGCTAGTAGCTACACAGCGACAACAAAGCAGCCCACCTCAGTTGCAGTCCCGTGGCTCAGAGCCTGCTCTGTGAAGCTGCAGCTGCTCTGAATGTGCTCCTTCCCCTGGAGCAGAGACGAAAGCTGGGCSTGCAGGACCTGTGCTCAGGTGAGACAAAACAGAAAGTGTTAAAARCAAAAAGTATGAGAACCACAGATTGATATCCTCCAAAAATGCAAGTGCGAAAACGACCTTCTGCTTAGTGCTGCAGATGTTCTCAAGGTCTGTGATAAGGGCTGTCTTGCGCTGATGCAGCACCCTCTCCAACTCTTCAAACGTGCTGGTGATCTCGGCCACTGCTTCGTTCTTGCGTTCGTTCAGCTGCCGAGAGATCTCGCTCACCAGCTCGATGGCTGCTGTTAGCTGAGGCAGCCTGTAAGATGAAGGCGTGTAAGATTCTCCTCTAAAAGTTGTTAATAACAGCGGGCAACTAAAAGAAAAATGACAAATCTACAGAGAACTAGCTGTCAGACTGAATTTAATGTTTGATGTGTTGGCAGATTATGCAGTGTATCAGCTGTAAGAAGGCCCAAATGCTTAAGCATCTAAATCAATCTGTGGAAGACGTTTCTGTAAAGCCCATCAAAATAGAGAGCCCACCTGCTATGAATGGCATCCAGTTGTGTTTTCAGTGCAGCTTTGTGCTGCTCCACAACGTCCCGCAGAGGAACCGTCACATGCTCCCGGTGCTCGCCCTCTGTACAGTCCAAACACATGGCTGTCTCACAAGACTCACAGTAGAACTCCATCACCTGCAGAGAAAGACAAACCGAATCAGCATCTCCTGGTGAGCACCACATAAGAAAATAATTTCAAAAATACATTTTTGCACTACTTGTATTAAAGGAGACCTGTCATGCTTTTAAATCCTTCTTTTCCACATTTAAATCAGTCAGTTGGGGTCTATATAAAGTGGAACTGCAGTGCTTTGGCCTAAATTCCTCCTTATTGTAACTCCACAATCCCCTCTTTCACCCCTTTTTCTGAGGTGCGTCTCAGATTAACTCRTTTTGAAGCTGTCCCTTTAAATCCAAACCAGACGTTTCCTACCCCGCCCCCTCCAGCTTCCAGAGCGATCCGCTCCAGTTTGATAGAGGGGTACACGACAAAATGTATTTAGGGCTAAAAAGGTGGATTTTGCATGATTGGAGTAGTTAGGAGATTTTAGTGATGTTTGAGTTCAGGTATTTCTGAGTAAACAAAGGTTTCTCACCTTTCCCTCGTGGTTTGGGCAGCAGAGGGGCTTCCCGGCTGCTGCAGCGCTGACTGACTCTAACACGCTGCAGGCCTCTGGCCGTGAGCACGCAGGCTCACGTTGGAGGACCTGGAACAAAACAAGACCTTTTTCCATTGTGTTCATTTTGTATGGCTGTGTTCACGAAACTCTCTTTTCTTRTTGTTTTGTGAGTCTACATTTGTTTCTATTAAAACTTTTAGCTCACTTCCTTCTTGACCTCATTTTCTCCCAATTGTCTTTATCCTCAGGTTATCATTGACTGTTGCCACTGTGGGCTCAGCTGAAAACCTACATATCCTAAAGTCCAAATAGTCCAAGAGAAGTGGCCAGCATGACTTCAGTCTGCAAGAATGTCCTCCCTCCCACCCAGCAAAAGTTGTTCCCATAAAAAGCAGCATGAAAAGATCACTCACATGCACGCAATTACAAAGCATTTACTTTTCTTTGCTTTGTCCTTTTCCCTACGGGTCTAATCATTTCTTTGTACGTGACAAAAGAGTTGTTTCTAATAAAAGAAGAGGGTTTAGAGTCAGACCTCCATGAGATTAGTGATGAAGAAGTTGTTCTGTAGAGCACAMACTCCCTTCTCTGGCAGGATGGACGTCTGCCGGCACACTGGACACGAGAGCGTCAGAGACTCTGGAGGAATGTAGTTCTGAAGACAGCTGAGGGGAGAAAGTAAGATAGCAAGATTGAAAATAAAATTTATCAGAGGAATCAGACATCCTTCCTCGTAAAATTAAAGGTTGTACTCAACAAAAACTATGAGGAGGGCAGCGTGCAGGCATGTTTTATGTCTCTAGTTCAGACATGGTCATTCCTGGTCCTGGAGGGCCGCAGCCCTGCATGTTTTACTTGTTTCTCTGCTCCAACACACCTGATATACTGTAAATGAATAGATGATTATCAGGCTTCTGCATTATGGAAGACCAAAAGTGACATAATTAGAAATAAAAGCAGAATTATGTGCACCATTTAAATTAAAAAGGGAGAACTTTATCTCCTGTTTCATATTTTAATTGACTTTCATATTTATTTTTCCAGGTTATTTCCAACAAATTAGTCTATATAATTGAACACATAATTAAAATTTTATTGTTTTTAATATATATTAATTGTTCTTCCTTTTACTTGTACATGCATTTGTGT